TTTCAGGTTGCCCTTTTCACTCTTTAGCAAGCCCCAACCCTCACACAGAACCTGAGACGTGAAAGGTCATGAGGGAGCTTGTGGTATGTGACATAATTCACRCTCCAGAAAACTAAAACCTGGCTCAAGACAGGCATAATAAAGAGAAAAGATGAACCTTGGATTAACTGACAGAAATAAATAAATAAATAAAAATTGAGAAAAAAATAGTTTGTAGGGGCACAGGTCCCAGTGACTGGCATCTTCTGTTTGGAAGGAAATGCATTAAAAGAGAACAAAGAGCATAAGTTACCTAGTGGGTGAAAATCCAACTAATCAAACAAAAGCACACAGRGAGAACTCAAGCTTACATCAAGGGAGAAGAGCCTGGAAGAAGCAAGGCAGCTGACACCTATAGATAGACATATAGATTTCAGCATGTTCGTGACAGATTTCCACATATTGATGCCTATATAATGGGTGAAGGAAAGTAATAATCAACATATATAACCAGGAAATTTCCTAGTAAAATACCCCTAAGGGGACTATAGTGATCCACTATATATATTTATCCAAATCCAGATCCTGTCATGCTTGCTGCCATTTAGTTCCTTTAGAGTGAAGCACTGCATCATATGTTGTGCATTCTGTGCATACAGTAAGCTCTGTCTAGGCTTTTACGAGACCAGTGCAGCTTGCTAAAAAGAGATTTCAATTCTGTTCATTCTTCAGTTATTGTATAAAGCCAAAAGTGGTTTTCCTCAGTGTTTTGTGTAGCCTTCCCACATCTTCTAGCCACAGGCACATTATTTAAGCCACACATAAAACAACCAGATTTACATCAAGTTTTCATTCCCTGGAAAGCACATGAAAGAACTGCTTTCCTTTTGTGTGCCTGCAAGGCCTGGAATCTCTCTTAGCAAATTCCTGCTGGTAACCCCAGGCGGTTGGAAAAGTTTGTTCCATATCTGGCATTTTAAGAAATTCCTGTGAGCTTATTCCATTACAGAATCCTTCAGTCACCATTTGGCACCCTTTCTGCAGCAGATGACAAGTCAAAGAACTTCATGAGTTCTGAAAAAAGCAGACCCTTGACTAGACTTGATATCAACCTTCTGTGATAATGCAAAATATGTCTGTTGTAGTTATAAAAACTTGTATGACACTCAAAACTCCACATTTTGTGGACAAAACCAAATAGAATTTGGAATACTATTCTGCAAGTGCATAACAACATGGGATCATCGTTTGAATTTAAAAAAAATAGGAAAATGTGCCAGTATGTGTAAAATTTGAATCAACAACACAGTCATATGAAACAGGTTAATAAAACTTGATGTTTCACTAAGAAATGAATAAAACAGTGACCCCTTCATCTTTGTAAGAGCAAGGTAGTTCTAACTCCAGAACATAGACTGCACTTGTCTCCTTGGCAGAGAGCCCTGCTCCAGAATAACAGGACTCATAGAATCATAGAATGCC